TGGGGGGAGGAGGGGAGGAGGAGGAAGGGGAGAAAAACGAGGAGGAGGAGGAGGGGGGGGTGGAGGAGAGGAAAGAGACGAGAGCAGAGAGGAAACGAAGGCAAACACGGAGGGTGATAGAGGAGGAGGAGGAGGATGAATGAACAAGTTGAGGAGTATGAGGAGCAGGGCAGAGAATGGAGAGACCTGGACCTGTGAGTTTCTCAGAATCAGTTCAACTCGGGCTAAAAGTAGTCGCTCAAAATTCAAATCAGTCCAGGTCCCCAGACCTGCAGGGCTCCTCTACATCACTGGGGTCTAGAGAATATGATTAATTACATATTTGTGCCACTGAATATGAACTACAACAGGTCCTCCATGCTTGAGGTGCATTGGTTTTACCAAACCGCTTCATCGGTGCCAAGTTACTGACACTAAGGGCATTATTATGATTTTACTCCATGACAGGACAACTCTAAGAACTGGCTGCATTATTTCCATTAACAACACACCTGACAACTGTTTTCTTTAAGAAGCAGCTGCTTTGGGTATAAAATGTCCTGATTCCCTGAAACCAGAATGACCAGACTTGTTTTCTGAGTTCTCTGTCACAGAAAACAGGGAAAACTAGCCCATATTCACAACTAAGAAGCTGGAACTAGTGGATTCTTCACCTTTTTGCTGGAGAAAAATGACAATTTATATCAGTGAATTGATTGATCAACTAATCATTTCAGCTGTAGGTTACTGGTTGGTTTCTGTGTAGACCTTGGCTGTACCACTAAGCCCATGAAAATGTACAGTGGTGTGAAAAAGTGTTTGCCCCCTTACTGATTTCTTATCTTTTTGCATGTTTGTCACACTGTAATGTTTCAGATCGTCAAACAAATTTATATATTAGTCAAAGATAACACAAGTAAACACATCATGCAGTTTTTAAATGAAGGTTTTTATTATTAAGGGAAAACAAAATCCAAAACTACAAAGCCCTGTGTGAATAAGTGTTTGCCCCCTAAACCGAATAACTGGTTGGGCCACCCTTAGCAGCAACAACTGCAATCAAGCGTTTTCGATAACTTGCCATGAGTCTGCCACAGCGCTGTGGAGGAATTTTGGCCCACTCATCTTGGCAGAATTGTTGTAAGTCAGCCACATTGGAAGGTTTTCGGGCATGAACTGCCTTTTTAAGGTCATGCCACAGCATCTCAATTGGATTCAGGTCAGGACTTTGACTAGGCCACTCCAAAGTCTTCATTTTGTTTTTCTTCAGCCATTCAGAAGTGGACTTGCTGGTGTGCTTTGGATCATTGTCCTGCTGCAGAACCCAAGTTCGCTTCAGCTTGAGGTCACAAACGGATGGCCGGACATTCTCCTTCAGGATATTTTGGTACACAGCAGAATTCAGGGTTCCATTTATCACAGCAAGTCTTCCAGGCCCTGAAGCAGCAAAACAGCCCCAGACCATCACACTACCACCACCAATATTTTACTGTTTGTATGATGTTCTTTTTCTGAAATGCGGTGTTACTTTTACGCCACACATAATGGGACACACACCTTCCAAAAAGTTCAACTTTTGTCTCGTCTGTCCACAGAGTATTATCCCAAAAGTCTTGGGGATCATCAAGATGTTTTCTGGCAAAACTGAGACGAGCCTTTATGTTCTTTTTGCTCAGCAGTGGTTTTCGTCTTGGAACTCTGCCATGCAAACCATTTTTGCCCAGTCTCTTTCTTATGGTGGAGTCATGAACACTCACCTTAACTGAGGCAAGTGAGGCCTGCAGTTCTTTGGATGTTGTTGTGGGGTCTTTTGTGACCTCTTGGATGAGTTGTCGCTGCGCTCTTGGGGTAATTTTGGTCGGCCGGCCACTCCTGGGAAGGTTCTCCACTGTTCCATGTTTTCGCCATTTGTGGATAATGGCTCTCACTGTGGTTCGCTGCAGTCCCAAAGCTTTAGAAATGGCTTTATAACCTTTTCCAAACTGATAGAGCTCAATTATTCTCTTTCTCATTTGGTTTTGAATTTCTTTGGATCTCGGCATGATGTCTAGCTTTTGAGGATCTTTTGGTCTACTTCACTTTGTCAGGCAGGTCCTATTTAAGTGATTTCTTGATTGCGAACAGGTGTGGCAGTAATCAGGCCTGGGTGTGGCTAGAGAAATTGAACTCAGGTGCGATAAACCAGTGTTTTGACAGGGGGGCAAACACTTGTTCACACAGGGCTATATAGTTTTGGATTTTGTTTTCCCTTAATAATAAAAACCTTCATTTAAAAACTGCATGATGTGTTTACTTGTGTTATCTTTGACTAATATATAAATTTGTTTGACGATCTGAAACATTACAGTGTGACAAACATGCAAAAAGATAAGAAATCAGTAAGGGGGCAAACACTTTGTCACACCACTGTATACTAATATATAAATTTGTTTGACGATCTGAAACATTACAGTGTGACAAACATGCAAAAAGATAAGAAATCAGTAAGGGGGCAAACACTTTTTCACACCACTGTACTTTAGGTATTAAAACTTAAACTCCCTTTTGATTCTTGTGCATCATTTCTCCTCCTGTGCCAGTGTGCGAGCAGCATGTTGCTGGTTGAGTTGTTGAGATGAAGTTGATGTTTAACTGTTTGATAAACGACTGATTATTTCTTTTAGATTCATCTTCTGATTGTTTTCTGGGTGAATCCACAGTTTGTTTGGTTTGTAAAAATCCTGAAAGTTAATGTTGAAGCACTTTGTCTCAGATTACAGTTAAGCTACAGATGGTTGATGTGTCGACGTTGATCCACGGAAGAAGACTGAGCGTCGTTACCATGGCTCTACATCAGTGAAGTGTTGGGTTGGATTTACCTGATTCCTGAAGTGATGATGACAGCAACAGTATGATCATTTGGCAGGAAACCGCAGGTTTGCAGCAAGGTTATTTATTTAGTCAAAACATACCAAACAACCTCACCAGTCACAGAGAGCGGCGATGTTTCCAGAAGAAACCCGCTTCATGTGAGGAACTCAGGTTTAACACAACCCTGTGAAGCACAAACACTGAAACAGCTTCCTCTTATTACCAAACTAAAACTCACTTTGTTCCAGATAAACAAGCTCTGCAGCAATCAGACTGCACGTGATTTGTAACAGGCAGAAACATGTAGAAAACTCACTCACTCTTCCCACAGCAGGAACTCAGAGTGACATGCTGCCGCTGTCAGGTTTTGCATCTGTTTTTAGCTCTGTTTAGAGATCAGCTCCCAGAGTGACATTAGGACCTCGTTCAGGACCGGTAAATCCAAGTTTCAACTTCTTTCACATTATCAGACAAGCACAGTGTCAGAGCGAGGGCAACTACGACAAACAGCATTTTATTCCAGTGTCTGTGTCAAGCCAATCCTTTATTAGGTGTCTACACCCAGTAACTAAAGTCTGCAGGATTCATCCTCTGGGAGCTTTAAATGTCTGCAAGAATGTAAAGCTAGTCCATCCAGTGGTTGTTGAAATACTCTGGTCCAAACCAGCTGACCACTGCTAGAGGCTAGAGCATAGCTAACAACGAGCAGAGGAAGTCAAAGTGTTTTTATCGGCCCTGAGTTGTGTCTACAGTCTCTTCAGGCTGCAGACAGTCAAATAACCTTCATCAGTAAGGCAGGGCAGGCTGTTTGTCACCTGAGAGGCAAAACCTGGGACTAAACAGTCCACAGGACACTGCAGTGAGTGCTGCAGGTGCCTCAGAGGAATGCAGCAACATTTTATCAGCTTTTTTTCTATTGAATCTGGATTTTGGCAGCTGCTGGGTCAGAGGACATCGTATCTTAACGTATTTACAGAAAAAAAAAAGTAAAGTGAAACAAGCTCATATTGATTTAGATGAACTCTAATAGAAAATATCAACTGTCCAGTCCCCTCTCCCCAATAAAACATTAAATATTCAAACTGTAATGACCTGCTTCGATTCAAATGAACAGTCTGACCACAACAGAGCGTTCCAGCAGAGGGCGCTCTTTAAATTCACTATCATCTTGACCTACACTGCTGCCATTCTGACCTACAGCATCAATTTAACTAATCAATAAAAATTGAGGACAGTAGGTCTTTAAAAAAAAAACAGCTCCACATTCCCACGAGAAGCTCTCTATGAATTGTCCACAAGTCTCAC